TTATAACGGTATTAAGATAGTTTTCTTTCTCAAGTTAATTAAATTAATTAATTGTATTTTGATCATTACTTATTGAAGCTATTATAATTGATATTTATTAACTTTATTGAAATCATATAATTTTATTTTGGTTTTATTCACTATAATTAGTTAATAGTTGGYTCCTTAGTTCAGAGTTACCTTTTCATATTATCCTATATCTTAGTTATTATTTTATATTTTACTTTATTAATTTATAAGCTCATATTTTGAACCTCAGTGAGTTCATGGTTTATTGTTAAAGCTTAGGTTGGGGTTAGGCTCAATACTCCTTTTCTATACTATTTTAATTATTTTATATCTTGTTTTGTATATTGTAAGTTATTTTTATTTAACTCTAATCAGTTTGATTTATCTTACTATTACTTATATTATAATTAATTGGTGTCAAATTCAATATTTCTGTTCTACAATATTGTAACTAGCTTGTTCTTGTTTGGTAATTTATAAGTTTTTATTTTTATTTATTTATTTATTTTTCTTCTTGTTGTATTTTAATAGGAGTAAAATTAGTAGTGTTTAAAATTAGAGTTCAGCTCAGCACTCTTTTTTAACAGAGTTTTTTTTTTAATATTTCTAAATTTAAATTTTCTCTTTGCTCATAGTTGAGGATTGTTGTTCGTTTATCATCGTCTATTACGGTTCTATTATTTATAGTGGTTCTATTCGTTTCCTTGTCGAGTTTCCTTTATCTCATCAAAATGGCCGATCGCAAACGACTCACACGTAATAAGCAGCGAGCTTCCGTTCGTCGCGACGCTGCCGCCAGACAGATCGAGGCAATTTATACTCTGGGTCTTAACGCTTCCACGGATAGTTCATCCATTTTTAAATTTCTAATAGCTGCAAATGACTTGGAAGAATATTGATCGAAGTTCACTTTAGAAAATGATACGATGTTAGAGGCTATGATCGAGTTAGGCACCGATAACGAATTTTCTAACAACGTCGAATTAGAAGTGCGTAGTACTGTCATCAGCGCGAAGTCGTTAGCGCAACAATATCGTTCCGGTAGTGTGGCGGCTAGTGAAGTTAGCCAACCCGAAAAGTCCACGATTGATCAGGTTGCTCCCGAAGTGGAGTCGGTGTYGAACCCGTCAGCTCAGGTGGGTCCWCTTATTACCAATCTCGCTCCATCTGGGTCTAATATTCGATTRCCGGAAATTCCGTTGCCCACGTTCGATGGGCGTCTTCAGAATTGGCCCGATTTTAGGGATCGCTTTGTTACATTGGTAGATCAAAAGGCCCATCTGACTAATATTGAAAAGTTTTATTATTTGTTGGGCTGCTTGCAGGCAGGACCCACTGATGTTGTGAAAGGCATCACGGTTTCCGATGCTACATATGGCCTAGCTTGGTCAGCTCTGRTTAACCGTTATGACAACCCTCGCCAATTAGCAACTACGTTGGTGTCGGAGATGCTCAATGCTGATAGTCACCAACAGGAATCTCCAACTGCGCTAATTGCTTTTCTCAACAAGTTCGGTGAAAATGTAGCCTTGCTAAGGTCTCTGAACATCTCCGATCTGGGTTCTTYTTTGTTATATGCAATCGCTGTTCGATGTTTGCCTGCCACTAGTCGCCGTTTGTTWGAACAGGACAACACTTTGGATTTTCCWRCGATCGATAGTSTGCTAGACTTCGTCAAGGATCGGGTCGAGGTGTTGGAGAATGCTGGTACATCCATGACTCCCACAGTTAATAAGCCYCAGCATAAAAACCAAATTAGTAGACCCAAGTTCGGGAATAACAAAATAGTCGCTGCTAGCTCGAAATCTTCTCGTAGTTCTTCTGTTCCTCCAGTTGCGCTAGTGTCCCAGAAACCCTCTACAGAACCTCACAGGTGTGAGCAATGTGGTAGTAGTCATAAATTKTCAGCATGTTCCAAGTTCAAAGAACTGTCCAATGATGACAGGTATGCTTTAGTAAGCAGTCATCGCTTATGTATGATATGTTTTGCCAATAATCAYTGGGCTAACAAATGCAAGTCTTCGTGCTCCCTCTGTCATGGTCGTCACAATCAATTGCTACATCGAGACAATTCGCATGCCAAGGTTAATCCAGTCAAGCAGYCTGCTGTATCCTTAGTTAGCTCACAACGTTCCAGATCGGTTCTATTGGGTACAGCATCCGTTAATGTTCGTGACTTAGCTGGTTGGCCTTCAACCAGTAAGGGCGTTAATTKATCCAGGTTCTCAGATTAGTATTRTTACGTCTGATTGTGTTAAACGGTTAGGCTTGCATCGTGAAAGATGGACAGTTCCGGTGGCAGGTCTGGCAGGACAGTTGGTCCAATCTGTCGATGGGAGGGTTCAACTCTC